AAAATAAAAAAAATAAAAATTTTTAAAATATATATTAACGGAAAATATTCAATAAAAATTAATTCCTAAATTTTTAAAGCACATATCATAATATTTAATAATTTTAAAATTCCATAAACTGCTTTCAAATCTCTAATTATGTCTGCATAATTCTTACCTTATCTAAGTCCATGACATTTTTGGGATTGAGCACCTCGGGGAATGATTCAAGTGGGCCGGAAACAATTTTACCATTTATATACATGATGCCGCCGGCACCCAAAACAGAACTCTGCAAGCCGAACAATGAAAAGCAAACAGAAGTCAGCGTGAAAGTCATGAAATCACTAAATTGTTTTTAATTAATTACCTCAAAGTTGATATCACATTGGCTGCGCTTGTGCGTATTTTTGGGCACATCATACTGAACGGGGTCATCCTTTGCTGCGAGCTGCAAATCAGAATCACAAACACAATCGCATTCACATTCACAATCAATTCAAGCTCATTTCAAATCAATTTCGATTCGCACCTTGAACTGCTGCAGTCCCAGCTCCAAATCGTGTGCGTTCAGCTGCTCGGCGCTGTGGCGACGCCGCAGACGCATGCCCTCGTTGGTGAAGCCCAGCTCGAGGCCGAGCTGTGCGGCCTCTGCATTCGCGCTGCTGGCATTGAGCAGGAAAATGCCCACATCTGGCTGAGCTGTGGCATCGTCCAGGACGTTGTCGTGGCCACAGCAGCCGTCGTCGGCGCTCGTCTCGCTGTCGGAGCTGCTCTCTGGGCAGCGGCTGGTGCGTCGTCTGCTCCGATGTCGATGGCGATGTCGCCGGCATTTGTCCTTGTCTCGATCCCGCGATCCACGCGACTTTTGCAGCACGGCTTGCTTGCAACGCGCGCCGCAGACAATGGCCGATATCTTATTGGCATAAAAGTACATCGCCATGTGTCACGTTCTTGGTGCCGCCCGTAGCACGGTCATGTGTGTTTGCTGTGGGACTGCCTCCGGCTTTGGCTCCGTGCAATTGGGTTCGGGCGATGCGCGAATTCAATGCACAAGCACGCCCAGCGCACCAGGCAGCCTGTCGCTGCTGCGAATTTCGAATTCAGGCAATCCTATCTTACGCTGCACGTAGCTAAATTCAGTCAGGTGCGTGCGCAATCACATGTCATTGGCGTCGAGCTGAGTTTTTCCTTTCAGGCATCTCTGCACTTTCTGAAAGCAGCGAAAATATCAGACAAGCAGTTTATGACTCGCTGACGCGGCAACAAGTCAGCGTTGCGGTCAATCGAGCAACATTACTCATACGCCGCATAGCCCATAAAAACAGAAGAGAGAGGCAGAGAGGGAAAGAGGGAGAGAGAGAAACTCTGGGAGCACTGAGTAAATCACATCCGTTAGGCTCGGACTATTATCCCTTTGGGGCCACTTGGCACTCATCAAGCCACAGATTTCTCTCTCTGCATGTGTGTGTGTCTGTGCGTGGGCCATCAATAAGGGCGTTACCCTTGAGGGCGGACAGCCTTTCAATTCAATGTTTCTCTATCAACTTGGTTCGATGTAAATCATTGAATTTCTGCCGCTACTGAGGCGAAAAAAGGATTTTAGGAGTTGATGCTTTACATTGCTTTAATATTAGCTTTAATTCAACTTAAGTAACTAATTTATCAAATTTTGTTATTTATTTTTTTTTTTTTTATCATAAAATAAGTATATATAAATATAAGCCTT